TAGCACGCCATAACTGCGTCATTTTGTACATATATAAGTTGTAATATTATGTTTATGTTGTATTAATATTAATCTCAGGATGCATTTCCTTGAGTTAAATAAGCTGCCAGCAAAACGCTTCAGTTTACCATGTTCATTCAGCTCTTCAGCTTCAGCACGCGCAGCTCAAACGGCTGCTGTTTAAAACAGTGGTATTAATTTGTTACTTTTTCAAAATCATTGATACATTATTAATAATAACAACCACTTGTATTTTTCTATTATTATTTTCATCAGCAATATGGTTTAGTAATTAAAATCATTTAATTATTGTCCGTGCAGAGGCTATTCCGTTTTATTGATCTATGGCGCATTCATTTTGATTCTTTACACGTGTAATGATGTCCAATGACTTGTTTGCATTATTTATGCATTATTTTATTTGTAAGACTTTTTTATGACTAAATTTGGTAATGGGAGAGTAAAATTATTTTTAAAACATACACCGTTCAAACTAGGCTGCTTATGTTGAAGTGTTCGGGATGTGGTTTTTAATGATGAGACCTTTTTTGTAATCAGGCTCTCAAAAAGTATATAAAAATTTGGATATAGATTTATCGGCCAACATATCGGTTATCGGCTTTCAAAAATAAAGGATTATCGGTTATCGGTATCGGCCAAAATTTTCATATCGGTGCATCCCTAGTTTTTGTGTGTGCAATTGCTAAAGAAAGTGAGAGTTTGCGTCTTCCCCAGCAGCTGAGGACTCTGCTCAGTCAGTGCTGCCTCATATCAGGAAGCCTCTGACTCACTCCCACAAAAACAATGTCATAAAGCAATGTACAGGATTACTCACGAGGCTACTCGATGACATCATGAGAGAACCGCAGCGCTGATCCCAGTTCTAGCTAGAGTGTCTCTCAGCGATTGGTCTCACCTGTCACTGAGGCATTTTTTGGGTAATAGCAACTACATGCCTCCGTCTCCTGTAGGGAAAACAGGCACAGCATACACATTTTTCATTTGTACAGTTGGCTCATGGACGATTCGAAACTGTTCAGATGTACAGGACAGCCGTGTTAGGACAACACAGAGTGATGCATTGTGGGTTTAGTCCAGCAATGTTTGGAAATCAGACTGGGAACTTGGGGGCAGCTGCCAGCTTTCCTTAGGTTGTCATTGGGTTGTCATAGCTGCCGTCATTGGACAGTCAAAAACATGAGTCTATGCACTTTGCACTGATAAATAAAGTACCCATTTTACTTTCTCCAACTTGTACCTAAACACCTGTGTCTTTTTATTATTTTATTTTATATATTGTTTTTATTTTAATTGTCGTTTTATTTTATATTAATTGATTTAATCATTTAATTTTGCTAACTATGTAGTGATAAACAAAGCATCCATTTCAATTTTGCCAACTTATACCTAAACACTTGTTTATTTTATTTTTAATTGATTCATTTTATTTTATTAATGTTTTAACTGTTTTTTTATTTAATTCGTTTTTTTTTTATGTCATGTCAAATTACTGTATATTCTTCAATCAGAGTAGTATTTTGTCATTTATGGTGACTATATTAATTTAAACGGATATATTTACACAAAAAAAAAAAAAAAAAAGGTGTATCACTGAATAATATATTTGCACTGGTTCGTTCTCGCCTATCATCCAAACAAAGCGATTCACTAAAATGATTTCGATTCTCAGCCCAACATAAATAAGAGAAGACTGTTTAAGAGGGCATTTTTAATCAACGTCATTGCATGAGCAAAAAAGCAGCCATGTAGCTTATTACTGGAACGAATATACAATTGTGCTCAGAATGATGAAGACGGATAAGATTAGAAAGAGTAGTAGTGTTATTTGTTTGAAATGATTCATTTCAGTACTTTGTCCATTCCATCAGACAGTACATCATTGTATTTGTCATGTTGGCGAATCAGATATGATAAAATGTGACCAGGGGTATAGTTAGTATAGGCTTTGCCAGATAGTACAAGGTCAAAGTCACTAGGGCTTGTAACGAGTGTTTGGGAAAGGAGTTGCCGGCGGCGGGAGCTGCGAGCATGAGCAGTAGTCTGGGTGTAGCACACAAACCAGTGAACTCATTTGCCATTACACGCATACCTACTGCAAGCTACACCCTTGGCTGTGGAGGTTTGGTAGAGACCTCCTTCTCAAGAATTAGTAATCTGTCCTTTAGGTGTCTTGTAAAGCATGCGTCATGTTCCTATGATGCATGAAATTTGATTTGTTTTACTCTGAAGTATCTGTTATCTGTATCACGCAGTTTATGCCCTGCAGCGACGGAAAGCAAAGCTAGATTTTGAGAATCAGATAACATGGAGACAAGATCATTTTCTTAGAATATCCACATTTATTTCAATGTCAGAATTGAGGGACTGTCACTCAGAAATGTTATTTTTAGTGTTACTGATATACAGCTGTCTCCACACGTGTGTTTGTCCACCCCGTTTGCCAGACCTCCTCCAGGAACTCAAGATGAAGCTCAGTCTGACACTTCCTTCAGGGGCCAACATCTCTCTCAGTTCACAGTGTGGTGTGACAGGGGGACGTCATCATACAACTTATTATACCACAAGTGTGGCATGGCCTGATTTTAAATGACAAGCTGAGCCCGGGGTCGTTGGAACTGAATCCAGGCATATTTTGCCCCAGCTTTGCATCCCTCGCTTGTTCGTTTGCTCGCTGTGTAAACTACATGGCTGTACACGCTTCGGTGATTTCCATAAGCTCTCATGGACGTAGATTTTCTAGATTGGGATCATAAAAAGGATCGCCATTGCTGAAGATGGTCATTATAGGTTTTTTGTTATATGTGCAGAAGGCATGTATAAATTGGCAATAATTCCTCATCATAGATGTCCTTAGTTATGATATTCTTAAAATAGTTTTTCAATTGAAATTGACCCTGTTTACTTTTACACACATTTTTGGCTTGCAAAGAAGTTTTTCTTCATATTTTGGATCAACCAAGCAAGCCCTCTTATATTTCTTTTAACCTCTTAGTGACTTATATAGAAACCACTTTTTAGCTGATTTCACTAATAGTTTAGTTTATTTATAGTAATAATTTAATCTTATGTTTTTATTTGTAAATATGCAAATAAAAATACAAGATTAAATTACTATAAATAAACTAAACCATTTAGGGGTATATTTAAGGGTTGATTATTATCAGCCTTGCCGTTAATTAAGCATTTTTATGGTTATCGGTCGTTTGTAAAACCGATATTTCGAAGCATTTAAAGAAAGTTTTGTCAGCGCCCTTGTTATTGATAATTTTGACATTAATTTTCATTTTTACACCAGGCATAGATATTGGTTATCAGTCTACTTGATCTGTAATAATCGGTATCGGCCTCAACTCCTGAAAAACACATATTGGTCGACCCCATATATAATATTATTATTATTATTTATGACTTGTTTGACATGTATTCCAAGACAAATTTCCATGCAAAATGACAAGTATAACTGTAAATCTTTATAAGAATAATAATAATAAATATTAATATTTTATATATTAAATAATAATATATTAATAGCTCCGTGCTCAAAAGTTCATGGCACAAACAAATATTGGGTAAAATACTTGGTAGATGTTTCATTTATATAGATGTTTCGCTCAATTCTATTTGTTGTTTAGGCAGCTCACTATGGTTTGGACAACAGAGCTTTGCATTTTGCATTTGTGTTTTTTAATTACCCCGAGAACAACAGAATTGAATTAATTTGGCCTTGAAAGGCACAGTGCTCTCTGAGCGATTAGGATCCTTCAATACGCTCCCACAGTCTGTCAATAATGCTTATATAGGTCATTGTGTTCACAGAGTGCTGTTCAAAGCCATTGAGGTGCCTTCTACAGATAACACAACTTTGAGACAGGGCTCCAAATGCATATTTACCCTGTAAACGGCAGGGCTTTCTCAGTGAGAGACAGTCTGTTTGTGTTCAGGTCCACTGAGCAAAGTACAACTGATGACATGGACTCACTCAGGATGTGTGATTGTGTGTAGTGCCGCTGGTTCCTAGTCCCATTTGAGTGCGCTCATGGTGATGACATGCTATTTTGGTCAGCTGTGAGTCAGTGGGTCCACAGAATTTGGATAATTAGACTTTTTTTTCTTTTTTTTTTAAGCTTGTCTGAACTTCCTGGAATAATTCAAGCTCAGATATTTTCAGGGAAAAATAATAAAACTGTAATATTATATGCACAGGTGGCCAAAATTGTGAAATATTTTTACAATTTAAAATTTCTATTTGAATATAATTAAAAATCACATTTATTTCTATGACAGCAAAGCTGAATTTAGCATATAAAATTATTTTAAATTGTAATGAGATTTTGCAGTATTACTGTGTATTTTTTTCATCAAATAAATGCAGACTAGGTGAGCTTAACCCCCCCCCCCCCCCCCCCCCCCCCCCCCTTTTCCTTTTTTTTTTTTTTT